CGTCACTTCCTGGCTGTCAATCCATCTCCCTCGTGAGGTCACTTCCTGTCTGGCAATGTGTCTTCATGATGTCACTTCCTGTCTGGCAACACGTCTTCATGACGTCACTTCCTGTCTGGCAACGCATCTTCCTCATGACGTCACTTCCTGTCTGGCAACGCATCTCCCTCATGATGTCACTTCCTGTCTGACAACCCATCTCCCTCGTGACGTCACTTCCTGGCTGTCAATCCATCTTCCTCGTGACGTCACTTCCTGCCTGGCAAAGCATCTCCCTCATGACGTCACTTCCTGGCTGTCAATCCATCTCCCTTGTGACGTCACTTCCTGTCTGGCAATGCATCTCCCTCGTGACGTCACTTCCTGGCTGGCAATGCATCTCCCTCGTGACGTCACTTCCTGGCTGGCAACGCGTCTTCATGACATCACTTCCTGTCTGGCAATGAGTCTTCATGACGTCACTTCCTGTCTGGCAATGCGTCTTCCTCGTGACGTCACTTCTTTGTCAGCAATCCTCCCTGAAGTGGTTGCTAGGCAACGCGGTGCAGGTTTGATGACATCACTTCCTGGCCAGCGAGGCGCATGTTGGTGACGTCACTTCCTGAGTGGGGACTGGGAGGGCCTGGGAGGGGAATTTGGGGGGACTGGGATGAACTGGGATGAACTGGTGTGAACTGGGAATCGCCGCGCGCCGCGCTGGGGTTGCTTAGCAACGCGTCTTCGTGACGTCACTGCCTTGCCAGCAACCCGCCCTGAAGTGGTTGCTAGGCAACGCGCCATGCCGACGACGTCACTTCCGGAGCAACAACCCTTTCTGAAGTGGTTGCTAGGAAACGCGTGGCGTCCATGACGTCACTTCCATTTTGCCAACGCGCTGTGAACCAGTCGCTTAGCAACGCGTTTCCTTGGTGACGTCACTTCCTTAACGACGCACTTTGCTTGGCTGCTTGGCAACGAATTGAGGCAATGACGTCACTTCCTGAGCAACAAATATCTCCGAGGTGGTTGCTAGGCGACGCGTTAAGTCCATGACGTCACTTCCTTGCCGGCAACGCACCTAGCGCCGGTTGCTTGGCAACGCGTTGAGCCAATGACGTCACTTCATAAAGAGAAACATCTCCGAGGTGGTTGCTAGGCAACGCGTTGCGCTGATGACGTCACTCCCTTGTTACCAACGCGCTCTGAACCAATCGCTTAGAAACGCTTTTTTCCAGATGACGTCATTTCCTTAACGACGACGCGCTCAGCAGTGGTTGCTAGGCAACGCGTCACTATCATGACGTCACTTCCTTGTTGCCAACGTACTTAGAATCAGTCGATTAGCAACGCTTTTTTTTTTTCTGGTGACGTCACTTCCTTACCGACATCCTCTCTGAAGTAGTTGCTAAGCAACGCGTCGAGCTAATGACGTCACTTCCTTACCGACAACATATGAGTTGGTTGCTAGGCAACGCGTCGTTATTATGACGTCACTTCCTTGTTGGCGATGCGCTCTGCAACAGTCGCTTAGCAACGCGTTTTCCTGGTGACGTCACTTCCTTAACGACGACGCRCTTTGCTTGGCTGCTTGGCAACGCATTGAGCCAATGACGTCACTTCATAGCAACAAATACATCCGAGGTGGTTGCTAGGCAACGCATTGCACGGATGACGTAACTTCCTTAACCACGACGCGCTCAGCACCGGTTGCTAGGCAATGCGTTAGTACAATGACGTC